GTCTAACAACTGACAGTGGTTGGGTTACATCACAATCTATACGTTTCAATTAATTCAGTAGATTTAGAATGTTCTACGGCAGTCGTGATTGTTAAGATTCTAAACACAAATAAAGATAGTATTTCAAAAGCGTCAGACAGTACACTCACCTTTCTTTCGAAGGTCTTGTATAAACTGACTTTCTGGATTGTACGTATTCACACTCAAAAAAAAGGTGTGTTCAAATAACACACCTTTTTTGTCCAGAATATAACACAGGTTAAGGTGTGTTTTCTTACACACGCAGGTGTGTCCCAAAACACACCTTAAGGTGTGTTTCTTGCTTGTCCAGAATTTGACACACTATAAGGTGTGTTTTGCAAAAGGTGTGCTTTAGTACACCCTAAGGTGTGTTTTGAAACACACTGTTGTGTGTTTTCCTACACAACTTTGGTGTGTTTTCCTACACAACTTTGGTGTGTTCCAAGACACATACTGCTAGGTGGTGCAAGGTGTGTTTTGGAACACACTAAGGTGTGCTACCCAACACACAAGATCAAATTGCCTAGGGCAATTATCTAAATAGAATGAATAGTCAGAACAGTTTGTCCATAAACAGTGAAATATGTATTAAAAATAGAAAACATTATCATACAAGAAAACACTTACATATATTCACAACAAATATTTAAAAGTCATATGGAAAATTTGCCTTAATAATAATTTGCCTTAAATATATGGCATGCATATAATATAAGCATGAATGTCCAGGCATGTATAAATTGTTCTAATCAGAATTGTCCTTAATTCCTTGGTGCACCTTTGCCATAAATGAGGAAAATTTTGTTCCTCTGTAGTTGCCATCATTTGTTGGCAAAAGAATGTCTTGTAGAAAAGCAAGCATCCTTCCATACTTTCAGGGTAGGAGACGTGATATGCATAGTAACAACAAAGCAGGTCGATCAAACCTTGGAGTATACCTTCACTCTCAATAAATGACTGGTCTTCACCTGCCACAAAAACTTGGTTGACCTCCTCAGGAGACCCAATCACAACCAAGCGAAACTCGACATTCTTGTCTTTGAACAAGGTTTCTGGTCTCATGGTGGATGAAGGCTGTAAAAACAAAATTAAAACAGTTAATTACAATTCCAGCATTGAGGGTAAACCTAAAGATTAAGATCATTGATTTGCCACTGAGCTATCTACTAGAGTGTGCAAGGTGCAATTGACAAATACATACATCTTTGAATTTTAGAACACTTGTTGTTGTTCCTTTGTTCCTTTTTGTCTTTCTCTCAATTTGCTCCACAGCCTCCACAACCTGTTCACTTCTCATTTCACATTCCTTATCCTTAATTTGTATGACAGCTTTCAATGCAGTCTCCAACTTCTTTTCAGCCTCTTTTTCCCAATTTTTCTGCCCAATGATTCTGCTAACTTCTTTTCTTACCTAATTAAGATAATCAAAGACATTTTGCAGGTGTTTGAAACAAGTTGCCATTGTTTCAATAGGGTTACCCATTGTTTTAATATTATACCCTAAAAACTACATGTGTATATATGACTGCACAAGACATCATGTGAAGATACTTACAACATTTGGATGACCAAGATATGGACATTCCTCCAAGACCTCTGTAGAAGATGTAGCTTGATTTTCGATAAGTTTCCTCCGCTCATTAAATGTGTCGACAAAGAGTTTTGCAAATGTTTTAGGAGCCATTGCACCAGGTTTTGCTTTTTTCAAAAGCTCCATATTTCTTTTTTGAGCTTGCTCATCATCCTCTGCAGTCAGTTTTATTTTCTTTGAGGCACTTTCATTTGCATAACCATGGGGTTGTCCATGCATCGCTTTGTTAACTGTCCGCCGCCGAAGGTTTCTGAAGAATTGCGACAATTGTTTCTGGATTGATACCTATATATGTAGACAAAATATGATATTTGGGATTAGGATCATTGCCATGACAAGTATATTTTAAGTACATATACAGAATATTCCCTCTTGTGACACTTACCCAATAGCTTGCTTGATTGGAATCTCTCAATTCAGGGAATTTCTCGCACACTAAAATGGCAATCCTCTTGTAGTCACCTTGCTTTGGGTGGCTGGACAAACCATAATAAAAGGTTCCTACATCTGCAATCAGCTGTGTTCGCTCAGGGGCAACAGAGCCATTTTTTATTGCCATCTGCACTCGCACAGAGAAACTCTCAGGAAATGGGAGAGTGTTTGGTAGGGCTGTGGCATCTGAACTATTAGTAATAGGTTTGGGACTCTTGAGTGGTTTCTTCATTTGAACACCTGCTTTCACACTTTCAACACTGCTTTCACATGCCATGGTTGGCAAAGGTGGTTTCACTGGCAAAGGTGGTTCCACTGGCAAAGGTGGTTCAGTTGGCATTGGTGGTTCTAGCTCTGATGTGTGTGGTTCATCATCATGTGGCATCACAATTTGCTGAGGCATTTTTTCCTATTATTGACAAATAGTAAATACTTTCATGTAAAATATTGAGAAGTAGTCATTATTAGTGATGGGAATACAATTGATTATTTCAATTGCCCAATGTGACAGTGCCTTCTCTCGGCTTATAATTTTCAATTAGTACTGTTATATAAAAGCCTGTTAGGCAAACTAAAGGAATTAACGACAAATTAATATTCTTGTTAAATCAAAGTTTATATTTATATCCTGTTTAAACAAAGTAAACTTACGTTTTCTGTTGTCGCAGATAAAGTAAAGGCCAATTTTTTTTTAGTTGAATTCGATGGCCAGATTTAGGTAAGACCGCTTTGAATTCGTCGATGTCTTGCATCAAAAAGTTCAATGTACCCCCATCAATAGCATTTTCTGAAACATTATAATCATAAACTGTTAGTAGATCGTATTCATTAAACTGTATAATAAAAAAGAAAGCTTAACGCACACATAAAACTTAAACGCTTTAGCATTTTGGCAATGGTTCAACCACATGAGGCATACCTTTCAGTTGATCGCAAATTTCTCTTGAGATGCCTTTTGATAACAAGTGAGCAATAAGGTCTTCAGTGAACATTGCTACTAAACACACAGCCATACTTGTGATGAAATTATATTTAAAAAACAGAGTAAATGTTGTGAGTAATCTTCTTGGAACGTCGAACGGGCAAGATATCAGTCAAATTTTTACAAGCAGGTCTAAATTTCCCGCATCACACCATAGGGAATTCCTATTGGCAGACTTACGGTCACGTGTTACTTTAAATACCATATATGGTATTCCCAGTGGTGACATTACCGTGAGAGAATAGAATGGCTCCCAGGCCTTTTGCAAATGCTCCAATTTTTCGGCTAATATCGATTGAAAACATACTGGGAAATAAACTAAGTATTAAAAGTCAGTAAGGCACAAGGCGAAATAATGTGTTTTTAGTATATACAAATGGCCGAATCAACTGAATTTCGCTGCGATTACTGTAATTTTGTATGTTGCAGCGGACAAAGTAAGCTTTTTTTTGATCACTTGGTTAAAATACACTCAAACGAGCCGAATTTCAAGATATTTTGTAACAGCTGTCCACGGTCGTTTACAAAGATAAACAGTCTCCAAAAACATTATTACAGACAGCATAAGGCTTTAACAGTGGAAGAAGACTTAAATGATGGGGAAAATGAGAACCATTTTCAGGAGATGTTTGACGAGGGAGAAGCACGAAGTCTAATGCAACGCCATGCTGCCAAATTCCTTTTATGTTCCAAAACAAGAGGTATGCTCACCCAGAGTGCCGTGGACTTGGTCAAAGATTCAGCGAAAAATCTACTAACTGAGTATTTGGACATAGTCAAAAAATCGCTTGTCGAAAAGATAAACAGTAATCCTGGTCAAGAATTGCAATTTGACCAAGATGTGGAAAAGTTATTTTCAGCAGAGAGTGTCTTCGACGGAGTTGATTCAGAATACCAACAAAGATCATATTTTAAGCGTCATTTCAATTTGGTGGTAAATTACCAACCTACCAAACCTGAACCAGCTGCCAGCTTTGTCAGCTTGCTTTATATTTTTTTAACTGATTTGCAGGAACCAATAGAAGTTGAGATGGGAAAACAGTGGAGAAGTGATTTTCGACAAGGGAGAAAAATACTTAAACGTGTCACAGTTTTTGGTTATCAAGTTCCATTATTAAAGACTTTGGAGGTACAAATATATTTTATATGAAAGACTAGCAAATAATTGATGTCACTATTCTGGTGCTAAATGCCATTACTTTGGCTTTTCAAGATTCAAATCACTGGATGCATCCATTTGTTGCAAATATTTTTTTCAAACATTTTTTTGATCATATATTTTAGGCACTTCTTCAAAACCCAGATGTTTTAAAGGAAGTTGAAAATCCACATTTTTCATGTGATGGTGTTCTTCGAGATGTAATGGATGGGGATTTTTTCAAGAGTCATCCAGTATTCTCCCTCCACAGTGATGCCCTGCAGCTGTTGGGCTATTATGATGATCTAGAAATAGCCAATCCTTTAGGTTCAAAAGCAAAGATTCATAAAATTGGTGTGTGTCTTTATATTATGTCTATGAATCTATGAACAGCTTATTTCATAAGCATGTTAGCTGCCCAATCACATATAAAATTTGTTTTTAGGTGTCTTTTACTTTGTGCTGGGCAATATAAGGCCAATGTTTAGATCAAGCATCCGCAGTATACAACTTATAGCTATTGCTAAAACAAAAGACATCAAGTCATTTGGGATCGATAATCTTTTGATGCCATTCATTGAGGATGTCAATTGTTTGGCGAAGGTATTTTTACTTTATGCATTACAGTATTGTATGTATATAAGAAAAAAAAAAGACAAAATTCCTCTAGTATGCAAATTTGTCCAACATTATAGCTTCCTATATTTTAGGCTAATGGTCACTGTTTTACCATAAATGGTGTTGCCCGTGTGTTTCGAGGTGATCTGTTATTGTGGACTGGAGATACACTTGGTAGCAACTATGTCAGTGGTTTAAAGGAAGGTGTTGGAGGAGCATTGCGAATTTGTAGGCATTGTATGGGAACAAGACTGGAGACCAACAATAAGGTAAATATGCTATAATTTGAAGAAATAGCTTTTTTCCCTTACTGTAATTTGGGAGATATTTTGCTGAGCAATAAGGGCATTTTTACAATTTACACAATGTGCATTTGGATTACCTTTCTGTTTTAGTTTTTATCTGAAGACTTTTCAGAAAGAGATTTGGATAATCACAGACAAATATGTGCATGTATTGAAGATGAAGATAATGCATTAAACATCCGTGAACAACTTTCCACAACCTATGGGGTAAACAGATTAAGTGTGTTGGATAAGGTGCAACATTTTGATGTTTGCATTTGCATTCCTGAAGATATAATGCATATATTTTTGGATGGCTTGGTACCCTATGAAACAAAGTTGATGCTGAAGTATCTGATTGATGAAAGCAGATGTATCACACTCAAAGAGTTAAATCGGAGGATTGAAAACTTTGATTATGGATACATGAACAAAAAGAATAAGCCAACTGCAACTAACAGGGAAACAATCAATGGTGTCACTGAAGCTAAGCTTAAACAATCAGGTACATATACTTTTAAAACCCTTTCTTTCACTGCAGTCATTGGGAAAGTATTAACTAATTTATATGTCTTGCTTTATGCAGCCTAATTGTCTTGAACTACCAAATGTAGACTTCAAATTTGTACTTCTCCAGGAATAACAAAGGCTGATGCTGCCTATTTGAAAGTTATGATTAATGATCATCACAAAATGTTCAAAAATCTCTACCCTAATGCATCCATAATTCCAAAAATGCATTATCTTATACATATACCTGATGAAATTGTTAGGTAAAAAATTATTGATGTAAAAGTTACTTCCAAATTATTTTTGAGTTTAGAGAACATCATCCTATTAAATTATTGATGATTATAATTAAATGTTTGCGTTGTAGGTTTGGGCCACCTAGAAATATCTGGACCATGAGATTTGAGGCTAAACACAGTTTCCTGAAAAGTTCAATTACCAAGAACTTTAAAAATGTCCCCAAATCACTTGCATTTTCCCATCAAAGGTATATATTTTTTAAAATCATTGTGCACAATTAGATTGACTTGTATTCCACCCCTCTAAAGTAGCTGTGTTTTATCACTCTAGGCTTAATTTTGAATAAATGTGTAGATTTGTGTATTTCAATTATACATTTTTTACAGAATTGTGTATTTATCATACTAATCATGGTGTAATTGTTTTTTATTTAGGAACATGTGCTGGAACCTTCTGAGTTCTCCCAGCAGCCCTTGACTAATTACCTGTATAGTGGTGATGTTGTTGGATTAGGTAAATAATGCATATATAGTTATAAAAATTTGTAATTTTACATATGTATAAATATGCATATACAGCTATTATTCCAATTTAAATCTATTTTTTCATGTGTTTCCTAATGTCTGTTTAAGGCGATCACAATGTTGATTTGCACAGCCATCCATATTTTGGCATGATAGCTCAAGCTGCTAGTGTTGATCAACTGGCACAGCCATGTAAAGGAAGCAGGTAATATTTATCAGTTTAATATTGCCAAGTTGTTTTTTAATGTAATTATGAATAAAAATTATATCATTTATATGACATAATAAGGACTAACTACTACAATATTCAATCTAGCTACTATTTATCAACTGAACTATCTCTTAATATCACTGTGATTTATCAGGCAAAAACTGAATTTGGGATGAGATGAATCATACTATCTTATGTTTATCAAATGAACTATTGCATTGTAATCTAATTTTTAGTCATGTTAGGCATGTGGAGATTCATGGCATAATTTACAAGCCAGGATGTGCTCTGCGACTGCAGGAAATGGATGAGATTGGTGAGAGAGATTATCCAGTTTATGGTGAGGTGGAAGAAATCGTTGTTTGGGAAGATAGAAAATTTTTTTGTTGTTCGAGTTTTGGAGACATCTGCTTTCCACAGACATTTTATGTACTACCAAGTTCATAAAACTAATGAAAGGCTTGTTGTACGTAGTAATTCAAAACTTACCCTGGCATGGGGTTTTGCATATTATTAAATCTAATGGAAAATTTTATAGTTGAAAAAGATAGTTCAAATGTAGAAGACTTTGTGATTAATTGTGAATGAAATATTGCCACTGTATGGTAACCAAAAAGGTAAAGCTGTTTCACTCAAGAAGGTGTGTTTCCTAATGGTGTGGTATGCTATAGGTATATATGTGCAGATAGGTATGTCTTTGTCAAGGTGTGACCATGAAAGGTGAGCATTCTACATAATGTGTTCTGGAAAAGTTGTGTTTTTCACGAACGTTTGTTGAACACACATTTTTCTCCAGAAAATGGTGTGTTAACTTGTATGGTGTGTCATTGTCAAGTTGTGTCAATGCAAGGTGTGCTCTCTGCATGGTGTGTTCTGAAAAGGTGTGTTTGTTGAACACACCTTTTTCTCTAGAAAATGGTGTGCTCACTTCTATGGTGTGTCTCTGTCAAGGTGTGTCAAAGCAAGGTGTGCTCTCTGCATGGTGTGTTCTGAAAAAGGTGTGTTTGCTGAACACACCTTTTCTTCCAGAAAAAGGTGTGTTAACATAAGGTGTGTCAGTTGACACGGGCGGTGTGTTTCTGTACACACCAAGATGTGTTCTGTGACCCAGTAAGGTGTGTTTATCAACCCACCTATGACTCTTTTTTCAAAAAAGTGTGTTTCACAACACACCTTTATGTGTTTGAAAACACACCTTGGTGTGTTTGAAAACACATCTTTTTTTAGAGTGCAAAGGTTTTCCGTGACTGGCAAGATCCAATTTTAATGCTGACAACTGCAGAAAATCATCTCCTGCCTGTCACACAATTCTTGACTAGATGTTGCTAATATTTCTACCTCGGGTAGTTTATCTGCGACAAACATTAACCCATACTTTCATAAACGATCTCTGCAGAAACTCAAATTTCTGTCTATAAACACCGAATACAAAAATTTCGGACATTACGCTCTCAAAACAGATAAATATCAAACGATTATCAGTAATTCTTCCGTATCCACACTCTCGCCTGTAGGCTGTGTTACACTCACACTCATTGAGTGTGACATACAAATTTTGTCATCACCGATTAAAGAGAAAGTTATTTCTTAATCGATACAAAGATTTAACGAAAAACACTGAAAATTAAGCTCTTATTCGAGTGGAAATACCGCCATTGAAATGTTATGACTCCCACTCAACAAGTTCGAGTGCGCTTTTAAAATACAATAGTTCCTCGCTAACTCGAACTCCCTAAGGGAAAGGAAAATTGTTCGAGTTACCGGGGTTCGAGTTTACCGGAGTTAGTGTAATATTACATTTATTATATATAATTAATACAATAAGTTATAAAATCCAATCGAATCATTCTTCAAGAGATATCATGCCTACCAATATGAATGGTGACCGAAACTGGACGAAATTTTAAAATAAAAAAGATCGAGTGTGTGTTAATAAAACTCAATGTGTTAACATATTCAATTTACGCTTTGGCTTTGGTTAGTATATTCAATTTACGCTTGCATTTAAAAACAATTTATATTCACAGAACGCCGAAAAAAGGAGAGTTAATAAGATCATAATTATTTGTCCGGGCTAGCATGCAAATTAGCAAACATATTTTAATGCAAGCGGATATTAGAAGCCAATTTGACAAAAATACTAGCTAATCACATTTTTTCCATTTATGAATGCGTGATGGTAATCCAGATTTCAATTTTTTAACGGTGTTTAAGAAAACCGGAGATTATTTTAATGTCTGTAATGTTTAACACAAGTGAAAACCCGTTGTTCGAGACTGAATGAAATTTACCTTGTGCGATAGTTTTTATACATGGGTGCCGTAAAAATGTCTCGTTCTTTTGTTGCTAAACAAAGTGGCTCAGATGGCAGATCATTAGATTAAGTTAAAGTGAGCAAATTATCAGTACAATTTATCTACGATGATATTTGCATACATTCAACAACCAAAACATCTAAAGTAGCAAGAAGCTCTTTATAGAATGATGTAGTCAATTTATTAGCACGGGACAGCTAAAATTGGTGCCTGCGTCCAATTTGATGCACAGCAATTTAAAGCACAGCGCATCCATTTTGACCGTGCCAATAGTTTGCAGCTAAAATTTACTGGTTCACTTACTGATCAAAACCAATCTCGTGATATATTCTTTCGGCATTTGCGTTAGTTGATATGAAAATACTTTTTGTTAAGCCAATCAACCACATAATATTCTTTTGAGAGAGCTGTCCTCGCAGCCAGTTCCCAACGACGTGAAATTCTATGACGCCACGCTTCTCTTCACGACGAGCTGCCTCGTCTCGTCCAATGTGTCACCCAGGGTAAAAACCGTGCTGTAAGTACATAGTTAAACGAAATTGACTTTTTGTTTTGAAATTGACATCTCCGAGACCTTTGTGTAGACCGTAAATATACAGTTGGTATTCAGCCAATAATGAAAACTGCTTAAAGTTTGTCAATATTTTCACTAAATTCTTGGCAAGCTTCCTTCAGTAAATTACCTGCACACGCTGGTTTTACTTCTATTTTCAATTTACAACAATTTCATGAAACAACTCTCGTACAACAATCTAAACGATCTCAAAACGCTCTAAGACAGTCTGGATTTATAATTATAATACAGCTCCACACATTTACTTATAGTCCCGGCCCGGTTGTATCAAGGCCATTTATAGCTTAAACGGCGGATAAGTCAAAATTAAATAATACTCTTACATCTCTCTTGAATGGGTCAACTATCCCGTCCAAAAGGAAAATCGGAATTGAAAAGGCAAGTAAATCTTTGGAACTGTTGTAGAATATGATAAACTGACAAATTTGCAAATATAGTAAATTTAAATCCAGTGGCAATATGGCGTTTTACGGCCATGATATCCTAGTTTCCATAAATCTTATTAAAATGGAGCTTTCTTTCAACGTAGATGTAAGGGGATTGAGATTTATAAATGGCTATTC